GCTCAGCACACACGCCCCAGGCCCAGCCGCCCCAGCCTACAGGTACGCCCCCAGCGGGCGCGCGCACGCTGTACCACATGCCCCCGCCTGCAGGTACACCCCCAGCAGGCGCGCACACGCTGTACACCACCAGGCGTCACCAGGATGTTCACAGTGGCGATGTTTGCATTCCCCAAACTGGAAACTGCCCATTATCAACCCACGGTGCACAAATGGATTGTGTATGGCCACAAGATGGAGCGCTGCCCAGCGGGTGAGCCAACAGTGTGCAGCCACAGGGAGCCACAGGGATCCTGCGATGTCCAGTGAGAGAAGCAGACATGGGAACGCCCATCCCTTCCTGCTCGACTCCACTGCTGCGGGGTTCGAGAACAGGCAAGATTGGTCTATGGTGAAAAAAATCAGGGAAGTGTCTGCTCTCGTTGATGAGCACCTGGAAAGGACAGGGGGACCACCTGCGTGGTGACTGGGGTGGAACCTGCACAAGTCCGTGTATTTGCCAAAACTCACTGAATCGCATGGTTACGATGGATGCATTTTGCTGTATGTGAAATTGACCTCGACAGGATAAAGGGCAGCACGCGTGAACACAGGCCTGCAGCAGGGTTCGCCGTTCCCAGTGGGCTGGCTTGGCACTTGCTCATATTTCAGGGTTTAGCAAATGAGCAAATATGCTTGGGGTAACGGGAGACAGGCTTCTCCCTGTCGGGGAGGACTCACAGATGCTGCAAAGGAGAGGCCTGCAGGGTTCTCTGCGGTGTCCGAAGTGTCAGTATGAACTCACAGCCTGGTGAAGATGGGTGGAGGGCATGTTACACACACATGCACATATGCGTATATACGTGCACGTACATGTGTGTCCCGTGCCTATGATCAGATGTTTCTATATTTCTATACACACACGCCCTTCTTCCTTCCCTCCTCTCTTACCCCGTGTCAGCAGGAGGAAAGGTCTCGCTGCTCTTTCCACTGAGGGGCCCAGAAACACTGCAGTGCAGCAGCAACAGGCGAGTGTGCGGATCTCCGTCTCTCAGTAACCACTTTCCCCGGACAGCCGCCGGATTCCAGGCTGGTTCGAGGAAGGCACAGGATGATCCTGGAACGATTTCTGTGCCAAAAAGTACAGAAGTGCTCGAAGAATGAGGGGGACATGTCACAGAGACACGGCACAGCTTGGCGGTGCTCTCGCAGGTCGTATCCGGGGCAATTTGAGCATCAAAAACAATGATAATCATGGATTATAACCTATTAAATAAAATTTCAATAATAATAAAGTAAAAGTAATAAAAATAAAATGAAAATTTCTGAGTGTTTCTTTTAAGAAAGAGGAAATAAGGGAAGAAGAAGAGAGGGAGGGAAAGATAAAGCTCTGTTTTTACAGACGAATAGGAGCTAATCGACGCAGAGGAAGGTGGGGGTTAGGAAATCAGTGCACGCTCCACTGAGTGGGCAAACGTCTGAGAGGAACAGGATACTTACATATGCTGAAAATAATCTTTCTAAATATTAGTTACTAATTACAAGGGGGAAACAGTAACTTTAGAGAGAAGGAAACTGCCAGAACTTATCCAAGGGATCGAGATGGCCAGCACTGGGACAGGCCAGCATCAAGCGCCTCCCGACCCTACACACCGCGAAGGACACAGGACCAGCTCCTGCTCCCGCCAAGAGCACGCGCCTCGGGTCTAGCCCCGAGGAAGCACCAGCGAGACCCACACGGGGGTGTTCTGCGGAACACCTGGCCCGTCCCCCAGTGCTGCGAAAGCCAGCACGAGGCTCCGATAGGCTGCAGGCGGAAGGCAACCGAGGCGCCGTGACCAGCTGGCACATCGTGTGACCTGGGGAACAAATGCCCACACAGGGCAGTGCTGGGCTGCCGTGGAGTCTGAGCGCGGGCTGTGGCTTAGACGACGGCATCTTATCCTCATTACAGGTCTTGATTTTTTTGATAAATGCACCGTGAGTGAGTCCTTGGGAAATACGCCCTGGAGTAACTGGGGTGGAGGCACAGGTGTCTCCACCCAGTCTCGGCAGCCACGAAAACATCGAAAACATCGTGTGCAGACACTGGAGTGTGTGGATAGACTGGGAGGGGGCTGGGGGGACAACAGACGAGAGGGGAGGGAGCAGGCAGAACAGGGAGGCAGGGGAAACATCCGTGTAGAAGGACACGGAGTGCTTGCATATTTTTGCAACTGTCCTCTAAGTTAGAAGTTGTATCGAAATAAACCGTGAGCCCCCATGGCATAATACGACAGATACTAGGTTTTGTCCCCTTGGAATTTGCTGAGTGACAGGAGCACCTCTTGTTATTCGAAACAAGCCCCTCTGACCTTACCTGAGTTTAGGCTCACTGGGGCCCCCAGACAGCCTCAGGCGGGGCTGGTCCCAGAAGGACAAGCCATTGGATTCGGCCCCGCCCACGGCCTCTGGGAAGCGGCAGAGCTGAGGCTGGAGCTCCTGGGCAGAGGCTCTGGGATGAGGAGCGTGGGGGAGCTTCTGGGCTGGTGAGCACAGCGGTGCTGGGAGGGCTGCGCACCCAGGGTCTCGTGGGAGCTCTGCACCCCATCCCCTAAACCCCGCCCCACACATCTGTTCCATCAGCTCTTCCCGGGGTTGTATTTTTCATGACAAATCGGTAAACCTAAGGAAAGGGCCTTCCTGAATTCTGTGAGCCATTCTAGCAAATTACCAGCCCTGAGCGGGGGCTGTGGGACCCACGAGCGACAGCCATGCGGTCAGAGGTGTGGTGGAACCCTGGAACTTGTGATTGGCGTCTGAAGTGGGGCTGTCTGTGGGACTGAGCACTTGACCGCAGGGTCTGTGCTCACTCCGGGCGGTTGCTGTCAGAGCTGAATCGAGTTGCGGGACTCCCACGTGGCGTCTACTGAGGACTGGATGCTGGTGTTGGAAAACACCCCACCCCCAAAACAAAACAGGTATGGGGCAATCAGAATTCCTCCAATGCCGCCGAGGGGTACAGGACCGGTACAACCACTTTGGAACACGGCCTGGCGGCATCTGCTCCACACGCCTGTGCCGCACCCACCAGTTCTGCCCCTTGATAAAACCCAGCGAGGACGAGAAGACACACATGTGCTAAGACATGCCCAGAAATGGTCAGAGCAGCATCGCCCGCACCAGCCCCAAACTGGAAATGGCCCAAATGCCTGTCTTGGGTAGAACAGGTAGATAAACAAGCTCACCACTGGGGCAGTGCACCCCAGGAATTGGTCCAGTGGTGAGATCCGTCCACCCTGTGAAATCCTACCTGGAAGTGGGAACTTCCACTCCACAACTCGACACCACAGCAGGGACGAATCTCATGGAAATAATGTAGAGCCCACGAAGCACTTAATTAGCAGGCACTGGCTGGGCCCAGGGGTGATACGATGAGAACATTCTGGGCTCTGCGAGACACAGCCTCCACGCAAGGAGCTGGAGGAAGTGATGTGGGGGCTGGGTGGCAAGGGACCAGCAGGAGGTCTGCAGGCTCACACCAAGGGGCATGGTCTGGGGTTTGCTTCAGCCCTGCGCCCAGAGTCCTTGTAGGATGCGAGTGGATGCCCGTAAATAATAGGCGATGGGCTGAATGCGTGGCCGGCACGCAACAGCTTGTCGAGATGGACCAGCACGTGCCTGCCCGAGCCCCTTCTAGGTAAGGGCACCCATGTCTTCAGCCCCACCTTTGTGCATGAACCTGATGAGCCAGCCGAGGGCAACCTGCACTGAGGGCACCCAGCGTCCCACCACCTCCCTGAGACTGTCCCCTCCTCTTGTCCCCAGAAGCCACTGTCCTTGGAAGTCATTTAAAGTGCTCAGCAAATCTTGTTTTCCAAATTCCCTTCCCAATCCCAGCCCCCCAGCAGGAAGGCAGATGGGAAGTGCCCAGTCTACATTCCTCGGGGCGAGGCCATGGCAGTCTCAGGCTGCCTGACCCACACAGCTGGGAGGCACGTTCCTCCGGAGCACCAGAGCCCGGGACGCCGAGCTGAGGACACCCATGTGTGGGGCTCGCACCCACAGAGGGGTGCAGGGCCCAGGGGAGCCCTCGCCACGGAGCCTCTCTGACCTGCCCACTCCCTGGGAGGGTTCGGTGGGGGCAGCGAGCCATGTGGCATGTGGGCCAAAGGCGAGGCTGGCTCCAAAATGCTCCATTCCCTGCATGGGACCCAACTCAAGACACCTGTGTGCATTCACCCAGCACTGACAGTCTTGCGTAAGAACTATTTTAAAAACTAAGGAAGAAAAAAATTAAGATAACAAATGACATAGGAATGAAACAAGCCCCTTTTGTGTGCGTGATTTCAACAAACATTACTGCATCTCCATTGTGCATCAGCCCACGCTCCGCCTTTGACAGAAATTTCCAGAATGAAGAAACTGACCAGGCTCAGGAGCCCAGGCCAGAGCTGGGATCAGAACTCTGGCTGGGCACGTGACTCTGAGGCCAAATTAGACAACAGCAGCTTCCCGACTTGGCCAGTCATTGGATTCACTTAATCTTCTGGCAAATAAAGGATAGGACGCCTTCCGTGCCACCCAGACTGGGGGCAGAAATTCCTGCAGGGTCTCGCAAACTCTAGGAGGGGACTCAGGCCACGCAAACAGGTCAGGATAGGACAATGAATGGCGGGGAAGGTGTCCCAGTAGCTGCTACAGCCCTGGGAGGAAGGGGACCCAGTCTGGGGACTAGGAGGGCTTCCCAGGAGAGAGGACGGAGTGCCGAGCTTCACCCCCCTGTAAGCTATGCTGTGAAACGGGGGTAAGAGCTTGTTCAGGGAAGAGAGCAGGATGGTGTTCCAGGCAGAGGGCTCTGCAAGGGCAGAGGCAGAGGCAGAGGCCAGGGAGGCTTGTGCAGGGAAGCCCGGGGCGTGGGGTGTGAGTCAGGCTGCAGGAGAGGCCGGGAGGCGGGGCGCCCCTGGCGCCTCCCCTGGGGCCAGGCAGGAGAGCTGGGCTTATAGCAGCAGAGGCGCCAGGTGCACTGGAGCGGCGAGTCACTGGGCAGCATGCTGTGTGCCCTGCTTCTCCTGTCCAGCCTCCTGGGGGCTGCCACGGCCAGCCCCACCGAGGGCCCCCAGGAGTGTGCAAAGGGATCCGAGGTGTGGTGTCAGGACCTGCAGGCGGCAGCAAGGTGTGGGGCCCTGGATTACTGCCAAAGGGTGGTCTGGATCAATCCCCCCATGAAGTCCCTGCCCTGCGACATATGCCAGGACATAGCAGCCGTGGCTGGTAATGGGCTGAACCCCGACACCACCGAGTCTGACATCCTGACTCTGATGAGGAAGACCTGCACGTGGCTCCCCAGCCAGGAGTCCTCAGCGAGATGCCAGTGGATGGTGGACACCCACCCCATGGCCGTCCTGACCATGCTCCGTGAAGCGCCAGGCAGTGCCCCAGCACAGGTGTGCACAGCACTCACACTCTGTGAGCAGCTACAGAGACATTTGGCCACCTCTGGGCCACTCTCCAAGGAGGATGCCTCTGAGGCACTGTCCCCATTCACGGCCGAAGGGCTCCTCAGCTTCTACCCTCCTGAGATGCCCGGGGCAGCCGTGTGCCAAGACTGTGTCCAGCTGATCTCCCGGCTCCAGGATGCTGTCCAGTCCAACCCAACCTTGGCAGAGGTGAACATCCAGGAGCAGTGTGAGTCCTTGGGGCTTGGCCTGGCTCTCCTCTGCAAACACTATCTCCTCCAGCTGTTGACCCCTGCCGAGCAAGCGCTGAGCCTCCTTCTACCGCAGGAGGTCTGCGAGAAAGAGGGCTTCTGTGAGGAGCCGAGCACGCCTGCCCGCCTGGCTCACGAGGCCGCTGCAGATGGGGTCCCCCCGCTGGAGCTAGCATTGCTGAGGAAGAACAGCGAGCTCCGGATGGAGCCTGGCCTGACCTGCGAGGTGTGCCTGGATGTGGTCCAGCAGCTGGACCAGTGGCTCATGTCCAACAGCTCCGAGGCCATGATCAGCCACGCCCTGGAGCGTGTGTGTTCAGTAATGCCTGCTTCTATCGTCCAGCAGTGCATCACCTTGGTGGACACCTACAGCCCCTCCTTGATGCAGCTCGTGGCCAAAGTCTCCCCAGAAAAATTGTGCAAGACCATCCGGCTGTGTAGCAGCCGGAGGCGGACCCGGGAGGTCCATGAGGCCCGTGCAACAACACTGTCCCCAGTGATGGACCCAGAGAACCAGGGCAGTTTCTGCAATGGGTGTAAGAGGCTGCTCAGCGTGTCCTCCCGCAACCTGGAGCGCAAGAGCACCAAGCGGGACATCCTCATGGCCTTCAAGGGTGGCTGCAGCGTCCTGCCACTACTGTACATGATACAGTGCAACCACTTCGTCACCCAGTACGAGCCTGTGCTCATCGACAGCCTCCAGGAAGTGATGGACCCCGTGGCCGTGTGCAAGAAGGTGGGGGCCTGCCACGGCCCCAGGACCCCGCTGCTGGGCACCGACCAGTGTATCACGGGCCCGAGCTTCTGGTGCATGAGCCAGGCGGCTGCAGAGCTGTGCGACGCCGTGCAGCACTGCCAGCGCCACGTGTGGAAAGAGACACCCTTCCACGGCGAAGAGCAGGCATAGCCGTGGCTGCCAGAGGCCTAGAGCCCGTGAGTGCAGCTGCGGGAGGCTTCTGTATCCCACAGGGACCCCAAAAGGTGGGTGCTGTCCCCATCCCCATTCCACAGATGAGAGACTGAGGCTCCCAGGAGGGAGGCAGGAAAGGAGTGGAGCTGAAACGCAAAGCCAGGTGTTTCCGACCCCAAAGCGCTCTGTCCTGACAACGCTCTGTCCTGACAACGCGGCCCTTGCAGCTGTCATTAAGTAACAAGCCCACATGCACCACCCCCACCCCAGTCAAACTGCCCCTCATCTCCAAGGTTGTGACACTGACGGTCCAAAGGACCCTGGCAGTAGCTTCGGGCGCCCCCTCCGCCCCTTGCTGGAAGGACACCAGGGGCCCGGCTGGGTGAGCGGAGGTGGGGGCTGCAGGATGGGTGGAGAGGGGCCGTCACTAGTGGGGCCAACCCCTCTTGTCCACAGCTGGGGCTGGGGGACTGGGTCTCACCCACAGCCACCGTTGCTCACTTGGGCCAGAGCTTCTCAACCTGGAGGCCCTGGGGGTGGCCCCAAAAGGAGCACGTGAGACACGAGTATCTCTACACTTTGCTGGGGAGGAGTCCAGGGCTTTGGCCACATTCTCCAAGGGGTGCTGGGCTTCAGAACAGTCCTCCAATGTCTCAGCGCATGGCAGGGACGCTCTCCCTCCTGCCACCCGAGACTCTCAGCCACCCTGGTGATGTGCAGAAGGGAGGTCTCGGGGTATGCTCAAAATCAGGAGGGCAAAATGTGCTAGGAGAGAGCTCCCGGGAATAGCCCTGAGGGGTCTGGAGTGGCTGAGGTATGTGAAGCAGCAAGGGCAGTCCAGAGCCATGACCCAGCGAGCACGTCCCTTCGCCCGTCGGAGCCTCACTTTTCTAATCTGTAGAATGGGGATGACCACACCTGCCACATAAGGATGTTGAGACAACCCAAGGAAACGTCCTGGAGCTCCTTCCTCCCTGACACCAGCATCTGTCAGTCTGCTGGGACCAGCAAAACCCATTTCAGGCCGATGGGGTCCCCGGGCGAGCCTGGCTGTGCAAGTGTTGTATAAACCGCAAGCATTCTCTAAATGGTGTTCGCCGCATTGTTATTGTCACGGAAGTCCCTGGTCCCAAAGCTGCTACGACAGTCCCCACCTTGTGCGGGTGCCCCCTGGCAGAGGAGCCACCCACTGCGGTTTCGTCTCACACTGTGTTGTCTTCCCAGCACACTGTGAGCCCCTGGGGACAGCCACGGGGTGTGATGCCTGCTATGTCCTCGCCCAGGGCTACACACAGTAGGTGCTCCAACATTTGTGGGGCACACACACGGGAGTCCCTATGGTTAAAGCCACCCTTTCATGCGAGGCCTGGGTCAGTGAGGCCCATTTAGATGAATTCTCCCCTCAGACCAGAGGAGTGCCCAGGCCTGGCTCGCCGAGACGAGAGTGGGGGCCCTTTTCTGAAAGGCCACACCCGAGCTCTTGGGTAAACATCAGGCATGCTTGGCCTGAGTCTCTGCACTTCTCAGTACTGGCTGCTGTTGGCTGGGCAGGCCTGGGCCCACGGGTCAGCCCTGTGTGGGACAAGGACAGCAGGGGCGGGTGGTCACGCCACCCACTGGACCTGGACATAGCCATGGTAAGGCAGCTCCGCTCCGGCTCCAACACACAGAACCTTGGGTTGTTAGACTCGGCCTCTGCAGGCGTCCCCCAAAGACCACCCATTGTGTCCAGAAAAGGCCCGGGATGCTCTCAGTCTGCCTGCTGGTCGGTGTCCCCACCCCCACACCCCCCGCACAGGACAGAGCTGCAGCCCTCCTCTGGCCTGACCGTGAGTCAAGGGGGACACTTGCTGACGGGTGTGTGTGACATGACCTGAAACTTCCCCCAAGATGCCACTGGCCACTCAAGGCTGGCCTGAGAGAGGCTGGGGTGGGGGAAGTGCCGTGCCTCCCAGGGGCCCGTCTACACAGAGCTGAGCCACTATCCCAGCCCCTTTGGCCCTGAACCCGCCCTTCCCCCACCCAGAGCTGCCCGCAGCGGCAGTTAGGGCAGGATGTCTACACACCCCCTGCACCCACCCACTCCCAGGCCTGGATGCCAGCTGCTCCCACAGGCCCACTGCCCGAATGCATCCCCATATGTGGGTTGTCCACGATGAGCACATTGCAAAGCACCTGGCAATGACCCCACAGGCCCAGCTCCGTTCCTGGGGCCATTTGGGGACCTGGGTCCTGAGCACACGCACCCCCCAGTACAGGGGCCCATCGGATCCCTGCCCTCTCTTGTGTCAGCACTCTTGGCCCCAGATCCACGGAGGCCTACAGCAGGGCTTGCCCAACCCCACAGCCCTGTGCCAGCACTGGGCCAAGCCCAGGACATGCAGGTGCTCAGCAGAGAGGCAGGAAGGGCCCAGGATTGGTGACGGCAGCTGCCACCACCAGGCTTGAGGAGTCCACCCAAACGGACTGGATGGCTGCCGTGCCCAGGCTGGAAAAGGCATTCCAGGGGAGGGGCCAAGCCAGCAGGCAGCTCCGTAACTGTCCTGCTGTGCGAGAGCAGACACCAGCCTAGAAGAAGAGCGGCCAGCCCCAGGGAGACCCACCCCGGCAAGGATGGAAACCAAGACAGGCGCTGAGTGTGGCTCTCCCAAAGGCGGTGACTACAGCCTCCAGCGAGCACTCTGTCTTGGTCGGGGACCGGGCTTCAGCCCCAGCCGCCCAGGCGGAGAGATGCCTGTGCCTTCGGGCAGACACGGACAGGACGTCATGAGCTAGAGGCCTGGGATGCTTCAGAAAACCAACAAATGGGGCCTCCCGCTTTCCCCTCCAAATTGAGGTATAAGAGGGTTGGGGCAGAGGGGAGACAGGTTTGGCTGTTGGGCTTTTGTTTGCTTGAGGCTTTTCTTAGAAGTGACATAGCAATAGAAAGTTTGAACCAGACACAAATGCACCCAATGGTACTCCTTTTTTTTTTCTGGCAAAGAATTTATACAAACTCCAGGCTCTCCTGGAAGACCCACGCGAGCAGTCAGTGTGGACAGCCACCTCCTAAAGAGGGAATATGAGTGCTGAGGCCTGGAAGTACACACCAGGGAAGGTCCATGCCGTCCCTTCTCTCTTCCACCTCCAGGGATGAAATTCAAACCCTGTCCCTTGCAATGAGAAGCCTGGACAAGCTTCCCAGCACACCTGTGGGCTGCGTGCCACAGGAACGGGGACGACGGCCACCACTCACCCAACTGGGGTGGCCAGCCTGCTGGGCATTGCTCCTGAGCTCTGCCGGCTTCACTCACAGACCCCCACAGCCTCCGTGAGGCAGGGGCTATTCTTATTTTATTTCATAGAGATGGCCACTGAGACCAGAGAGGTCAAGTAACTTGCCCACGGCCACACAGCCAGCAGAAGATGGAGCCAGGAGGGAGCAGGTTCCAGGGCCTGTGCTCTTGGTCCTCAAACCCTCTACACCCAAGAGGCCCAAGTTCAAGTTCTGACTCCACCACTCTGTGGCCTTGGCCTCAGTTTCCCCATTCCTAAACAAGGTGATCCCCACCACCCAGGGTCCTCAGCAGGACTGAAGGCGCTGTATGGACAGAGCCAGCTGGACACACGTTCAGAGTGCGGGAGGGGCTTTTACAATCACATCCTCCGTTAGACAGCTGTCTTTTTTCTGTTTCTCTAGTGAGCTCTTAAAGTGTGTTTTCACTGTTATATTTTTGCGTATCTTCCTCGTGAGACACACTGCGATTTCTAGGTCTGACGCTGCTCATCAGCTTTCCCAGAGCACCTGAATCGCTCTCTGCTGCTGTTGTCTTAACGTTTGCTCAACAAACCCCTGTGGTAGGGAAGCTACTGCATGCACCTGGGCTGGTGAATTGGCCGGTTGCAGATGCAGTGGCCACGAGAGAGCACAGGGGCGCCGGACACTGGCTGCTGCAAACCCCCCGCCAACGTGTCCACGGCGGTGCGGTGGGGGTGGGACAGACCCAGAGTGGCACTGGGACACCTGTGCTGCCTCAGCCAGGCCGCGAGGCAGCCCATGACTTGCCAGGCAACCTTGCCCACGGCCGGCAGCATGGGCTGTGCCTGTGGCCGGCGGCTGTGCGCATGTGCTCACCCAGGCACGTCTATGCAGGCAGTTTTGCACGAGGTCAAAAGTCAGGGCAGGTCAGTCCCACTCTGCCGCCCCTGGGCAAGCCCTTACATTCTCCGTTCTCAGCCTCCACTTGTGCATCTGTAAAATGGTCACAGCAGCCCCGCACCTGTTCCGCAGCATGCTCACCAAGCTGCAGTGAGAGTGGACAGGCTCACAGGGACTCGAGCAGAGACGCCTCCTTGGGGTCCCTGTCCCCACCCCCGGCCTGTTCTCATCACAGCAGCCAGACCCTGACAACATCCCAGTCAGATCCTGGTCAGAGGCCGCAGCCCACTCAGAGCAGAAGCTGCTGACAGCTGACGAAAGCTGGGGTCCTAGGTGACCAGCTATGAGATCGCCCCTGGTAGACCCCATTTGCCTGGCCCAGCTTGTCTCCTCCAAGCCACCTGGCTGGGACATGCCCCATTGCCACCCAGGGCCTCTGCTTGGCCTAGATCTGCTTCCCTCATCCTGCCAGAGGCTCAGGCTGCCCCTTGGGAGTGTCCCCACATAACGTCCCCAAGAGATCCTCTCTGGCCCCCACCAGCCACTCCCTCCCACCACCCCAGGCCGGTGTCTCCGCAGCCACACTGTGGATTTTACCTACTGTGTGTTCACGGCCCGGCCGCCTCTGTGGGGCTCGGCTCCAGCAGGGCAGCGGTTTGCCTCGGCAGTCCCTGGGGCATTCGCATCCCCAGGACAGGGCCGGCACAGAACAGGCTCTGGGAGCATTGGAGGATTCATGAACGCCAGCCCTCAGCAAGCCATTGTCTCAGCCAAAACCTCCCCTGGGCTGCCCTCATGGCCAGAGTCCACCACGCCAATGCCACCTGTGGTCGACGTTTCTGAGGAGGCCGAGCCGTGG